GGGTTGGTCCGGGGGCTGGTGTGTGATATGTGTGCCAGGTGGGCTTATCATCGGAAACCGTCTGTTTCGGATGGCATTGCAGCAATTGTAGATGCAGGCGGGCTACGTCAGCAGTCAGTTTTTGTAGTCAGGTATTGCCACTTCTCTACGCCTGATGTTATTTCCAAGATGCTCAATGAAATATCCTTCTCTTGAACCCTCTGCTGTTACTTGTTCCCGTGCTCCCCTTCTTTCTTTCCCGTTGCTGAGGTGACGAGAATTGTGTCAAGGCAGAGTGGGTGCATCCGCAGTATTGCGGTCAGGTAATTCAGTCGTTGGTGTTTGATGTCCTAACTCGTCCGTATCTTCTTACTTTTCTTCACTTCTCCTCGGTCCTTTCCCTCTCTTCCCCATGCTCCCCATGTCTCTTGTCCACCACCTCCCTGGCAACCCTCGCCCTCTCCATCCTCTCTCTCTCTTCCCCATGCTCCCTTTCGCTCTTGCCTACCACCTCAGCACCGCTGCAGTCTACTGGGACCTTATCATTTGAAATTCTCTGTTGATCACTTGCTACATTTCGAATATGTCCAAGCATATGTGGTGATTTTGACGTTTTGTCCTGGAACGGATACAGACATCTACAAACATCTATGGACATCTACGGACATGTACAGACATCTACAGACATGTACAGACATGTACATACATCTATAGACATCTATAGACACCTGCACACCCATCCTTAGGGTTTGTATATGCACTTATGTGTTCTATGGACATGTAGAATATGTGGTGATTTTGACGTTTTGTCCTTGAACAGATACATGTATGGACATCTACGGACTACGGACATGTAAAGACAGCTACATGCATCCACAGACATCTAAAGACATCTAAAGAAATCTAAAGACATCTAGAGACTTCTAAAGACGTCTATAGACATCTATAGACATCTATAGACACCTGCACATATATGCACTTATGTGGTGATTTTGACGTTTTGTCCTTGAACAGATACAGACATCTATGGACATCTACGGACTACGGACATGTAAAGACATCTACATGCATCCAAAGACATCTAAAGACATCTAAAGACATCTAAAGACTTCTAAAGACGTCTATAGACATCTATAGACATCTATAGACATCTATAGACATCTATAGACACCTGCACATATATGCACTTATGTGTTCTACGCCGAATCTATGGACATCTACGGACATCTACAGACATCTACAGACATCGACAGACATCTAAAGACATCTAAAGACATCTAAAGACATCGATAGACATCTATAGACACCTGCACACATATCCTTAGAGTTTGTATATGCACTTATGTGTTGTCTTAGTAGTAGTTATCTGGTATCCACCCCCCTGCTGATGGACTTAAGTTTGTGATCTCAAAACAACGACTTCTGTTGCATTAAGGAGCATTGCAAGTTCGTGACTGTAGTTCAACAAGGGTTCTGGCTTTTCTCTGCTTAATTTTTCAACTTTTCTGTGGCTTCGGCACCGCCCCCCCCCCACCGAAGGTGGGTTAGCTCTTATCATTGTCGTATCTGTCAGGTTTGAGCTGATGACCTGTTTATCAATAGTTGTACACATATCATTCAGCCACAAGGCGTGTGGTGCTTTATTCAGCTTATATTGTCAACATCGGCTTCGCTTGTGGAGAGTTCGACGTGGACAGTTTGTTCTGAATGGTTTGGAAGTCTTATGTAAGATTGACGGATCAAACTGCCGTCTTCACCCGAATGTAACGCACAATTATTAGAGCTGTATTTGGGGCAATTTTCAGTCTAGGTACAGTGATAATGACTGGGTGTTCTACACGGTGAAGACAGAGACCATAAGCTCCGAAAACCACACCTTGCTACCAGGGTGTTGCAGTCCATGTTTTGTGTTGCTTTATTTATATTTGTATCAGCAAGGCAGCTCAATAAGTGATGCTGGTTTCCCATGAGAGGCAACAGCCCATTGGTGTGTTTCTTTCCGTCCTCTTCTTCAACTTTTGAAATCGCAACCCCCCTTTCTTTTGCAAAATGTGCTTGACTCTGATGGAGTTCCTCCAGATGGGACGCTGGACCTGGTTTCCAGCAGGTGTGGCTCCCCACCAATAGACTGGGGCAGGGCTGTGCCAAAGGCATAGTGGGGGGTGCTCATATCACCCCCTCTCGTGACCCTGCGACAGCCTGTTTTATCAAAACAAGTCGCCCAACAGAGAGGATGAGAGAAGGCGATGGAAGAGAGATGAAGATGGAAATGGAGGGGCCGGCGAGACACCTCTTCCTGCTCCCCATCTCTCTCCCAAAGAAAAAGAAAAAAAAGGCGCCTGACGTCTCCCCTTCTCCCGTTCATCCTCCTGCTCTGCCCCTCCTCCCGTAAGAGAAAAAGAAAAGAAAAAGAAGTCCAACGACTGCCGCTACTCCGGTTCCTCCTCCTGCTCTGCCCATCCTCCTCCCGTTCCTCCTCGTACTTGTCTTGCTCCCGCTCACAGCCAGAGAGGATGCGAGAAGACGATGGAGGAGAGACGAAGAGGGAAATGGAGGGGCCCACAGCACGCCTCTTCCTGCCCCAACCTCCCTCCCTGTCTCTTATACACATCTAGATGTGTATAAGAGACAGTCCTCGTACTTGTCTTGCTCCCGCTCACAGCCAGAGAGGATGCGAGAAGACGATGGAGGAGAGACGAAGAGGGAAATGGAGGGGCCCACAGCACGCCTCTTCCTGCCCCAACCTCCCTCCCAAAAAAAAAAAAAAAAAAACGCCCGACGTCTGCCCCTCCTCCTTCTGTTCCTCCTGCTCCGTGCCTCCTCCTCCCGTTCTTCCTCTTACGTGTGCAAGCAAAAGGAGCAATAGCGAGATGACAGAATCCGGATTGCAATGATCACATTGAAAGCCAGAAAGTCTCACAGTGTCCGGAAAGCAGCATTGCACCAATATAACACCAATGGAGAATCGTAACACTGAAAACCGAATGTCAATGAGAGCTTGCTCTCGCCATCACCAACATAAGTATCCAGTCCCTTCCCCCTACTTGGCGCTCGGCGCCCAGACTACTCACACACAGCTACTTCCTGCCTACGAATTGACAATGCAACTGTTGACATCAGCAGCCACCGAAGTACATGAAGATGTCGACCAATGCAGACTATTGCCAAGACCAGGTATGTGCCCTAACGTCATCATCCTCATCTCTCTCATCTCTCTCTCTTGTCTTCCACCCACGTCTTGTCTCTCTCACACACAAAGACCACCACTACTGCTTGCTGTACTTCCAAGGCCCAGCCAGCTATGGGATCTGGGCTATGGCGCTGCCCGCAGCAGCGCCGTTTCCCCTACACGACCACATGTGCGTTGCACCGTGATCCAGTGCTAGCAGCAGCCCGCTAGCATCCGCTTCAGCAGCGCTGCCGCAAACTAACAATTGCCCCAATGCCCCGCCAGGCAGCGAGCTCTTTCCTATAGGGAAAGAGTCTGGCCTGGCCTGCGGCCTGGCTGGGCTGGGCCTGCGCCCAGAAGCTTCCCGTAGGCCCCGGGTAGCTTGGCCTTTGGTGTTACTGCCCTGGGCCTTCGTTGGTTACGCTTCCCAACTGCCTGTCGTGTATACTGCTGCAGATGCGGCGCAGGGCGTGCTTCAAAGAAAGGCCTGGAACACCGAAACAAAGTGTGGCTGGCTGTGGCCTGAGTTCCTTCAACCAACTGACGCGACACAACTGCCTGGACCCCAAATGCGAAATTGACAACAATGGGCCCTTCGTGATCTCATCAGGCCCGCCTTCACTTAGGGCGGGCACATATGCAAAGTGGGGCCCTTAGGCCTGCCGAGGAGCCAAATCCTCGCACTTGTCTTGCTCCCTCTCCTCCTCCGGCTCCTCGTCCGTCCACCCGTCGTCTTCCCCCTCCTCGTCACGCGCCTCCTCCTGCAACTCTTCCTGTTTGTCCACTGCCTTCTCCAGCTCATCCCCTTCGCCCTCCTCCTTGCATTCCTCCCTATGGTTCGTCATCCTCCCCTGTCTCCTCTTTCCTCTCCTCCTCTCCTCGTCATCCCACCCCTCCTCATAGCGCTCCTCCTGCCACTCTTCCCCTCGTTCGTCGTCCACTTCCTCCCACTCTCCTCCTCCCCCTTGCCCTCCTTCCGCTCCTTCCACTCGTCATGCCACCCCTCCTCCTCCTGCTCCTCATCTCGTGCAAAATGGAATGAATCTTCCCCTGGAACAGGGGGAGATACACGACCATATTTTTTGTTTTCCTGTTTGTTGTCCTTCCCATCCCTCTTCTTCCCCTCGTTCCACTCGTCATCCCGCCCCTCCTCCGCCCATATAAACTGGAATGAATACACGGCCATATTTTTGTCTTCCTGCTCGTGGTCCTCCCCGTCCTCCTCCTTCCCCTCCTCCCACTCGTCATCCCGCCCCTCCCGTGCAAAATGGAGTGAATCTTCTGCAGGAACATGGGGAGGTACATGGCCATATGTTGTTGGCTTCCTGTTCTGTGTCCTCCTCTCCTCCTTCCCCTCCTCTCGCGCCTGTGCACCCCCCCCCCGCGCACGCAAGAGAGAGAGAGAGAGAGAGAGAGAGAGAGAGAGAGAGAGAGAGA